CCTGATGTGTCACCAAGACAGCTGGGGAGGCAATGGGGTAGACCAATCGACCTGTACGAATTCCGTATGAGCTAGCTCAAGCCTTGGCCACTGTGGAGGGGAATGCATGCGCTAAGCAAGGGCTGTTATTCGGGTCGATGAAGGATAAAAGGATCAACTTTAAGTTCAAATATGGAGTTACATCAATCCCTTTGGGATGCGGCATGCATGCTACTTCCGAGCCGATTCAGTATCGCGATGGCTAATTGAATGCGATGTAGCCCATACAATGACTTGCGGGAAGTAGCCGATGTACAAGTCAGTGTTTTTATCCTCCCAGACAAATCTGGAACCAACTCGCCGTCCCCCGAGGGTAGAGGAATTGGTTTGCCTGAACGGGAGCCGATTGGGATTTGTGTGCTAAGAGTGGCACTCGCCAACTAAACCACCTCCGTATGTTTGTCGGACCGACAGGCAACTATAAATGTTGAGCCAGTAGAAACTGGTGGAGGGATCCTCACGTCACTAATAAGGGTGCGTTCATACTTCGCGATCCGATCGATTGGATCGCGGATTGCTCGAGCGACTGAATCGTGCGACCACGACCGAGGGCTGCCCACTGCCAATCGGTGGACCGCCGCAACGGCAGAGCTCAACTAGGCCGCATTACACGGTATGGATGGGTTCAGTTTGAACTCTTCCGTCGCACTGGTCCAGCGGTGGAGCGCCCGGTCGTGTTCGCGCGATTCAACACAGTCAGAACGCGTGATCTAAGCGATCGGATTGCGAAGTATCAACGGGCTCTAACTATCCTCTGAACGCTGCGAAACCTAGGTTTCCTGAAACGATCCTTAGTGTTTTGGCCTTGAGAGCCTAAATCTTCCTTTTTCAGATTCATGGGTGCGACGGCATTGACGTTGGCCGCTGCTGGAGGTTCGTTCGTGCTAATTCTCACAGTTAATTTCTTTCCATTCGCTGTTTCATGAGTACTTTTTATCTAAACATTCTTCTCTAGGCATCTTCAGTATTTTGAAAATTGAGTTTTTGTGCATTCTGTTTATTATGGGGATCTGGGACGCTAAGGGAGTTGAGGCCCTGGTGGTAGTGATGCCAGGCTACGCTTACTTCTTGCTGGATCGTTACGGTATCTTCCACCATATTGACAAACAACTGAAAGCAAGAGACGTGCAGGAAGAAGGCGTGGGACTGGCCAGCCCTCTTCCCAACTATTAGTCCCTCAAAGACCTATAAAAAGTGCATATGTTTTTTCTCTCTGGCTTTGATACTCTGTTTTCCAATACCTACGAATTGATATGAGTGTTTTCGCAGCCGCTCTCACATTGTTAAAAATTGTTATCTCTTCGCTAGAGGTTCTCGCCCACAACGGGCTTCTGTCCAACATAGCTTTGAATCCGCCGTTGCTATTTTCGACGTAGTCCACAGTATCGTGGATTCCTTATTCATCGGTACGCTAATGTTAGTGGTTTGGCTTTTTTTGAGACTTTCTATTGGTATGACGTCAGCGCGGTCCGCGCTGGTCATGTGGGCGGGTCGACCATCGTGCCTTCCATGTGGATGCCCCCTTTTCTCTGCCGCCTTAGAAGGAGTGTCCACTATTGGGAAACCCTCACTCCCTTCTAATGGCGAGACGTCAAAGAGGATGGACGCTACAAAGAGAAAGGCGCGACTAGCGACTGTCGCCGCCCATCTACCACAGCGGACTGTCCTTTTGATCAAATAAGGGCACCCACATTCATCGTTCCTATCACATATTTATAGAACACACCATAATATGAGTAGTTGGACATTAGGTCCGACTTTGGCCGTCACACGCCGTAGGCGCCCTCTTCAAACTGGTGGGTATTTTCCCGGAGCTTTTCGGTAACTAAGTATACCCTGTACAATCCTCTGAAGAAATACATGCCGCATTCTCTCACGGAGCGGCACCCCTCCCAGAGCCTTCTCACTTTGAACCTCCTCGAGGAGTACCACGCCTACCGCTATTTCGACTGTTGGTCAGGAGGTCCATGTTGCGGCGGCGTCGCCTCACCTCGGATCTCATGACCAATTCTTGGTGATTTCTATTCGCTCTTTTTCAAATAAGCTGGGAATACGTTTCAGTGGAGCGCCAATCGACGAGACACTGGACTCGCTTCTTGGCCTCTCAGCGCTGTCTTGTGTGCTTATGTGCTCATCGACGAGTGTCTTCTGTGCTCTTTTGGATTTGGGAGCTGATCCAACGAAAAAGTTCGTTTTTATTTCAGAATTTTGAAACCCCCTCTATAACAGTTTTTATTCCAGAACTCTCAAGAAGAAAACTGCTGCTGAACTCGCCGAGCAGTTCAAACGTCACGACGTGTTGGCGATTCTCGCTGATAAAAGCCGCATTAGGCACCATGGTCATTTTTGTTTCACTTTTGTCGACGTTAAGAATGGCGGGGGGGGTGCGGATGAGGCTGAGCCGCTCTTCTTCTCTATTCGTCTGCGCCCTCATCGGCGTTCACCGAACTCGTCCAATACTATTTAGCCGAGAGCGTGCAGACAAGCAGAAAAGAGATGTGACTCAATCACATTTCCGTTCTGGCAAAGTACCACCCTTCCCCATTCCGCACAAAGACTCTCATCTGCAACGAACCCCATCCAAAGCCTACCAGCCCCATTAATTGTTCTTAGAATTCGTTTCGAGCGCGGAATGCGGGCGCAGGAGGTAAAAGGCAGCTCCCATAATTACCAGGAATGCAGCGCCGCCCACAATAGTGACGCCCCCTCCGCCCGTTCCCCTTCCCTTATCCTAGCTCCCAACTTCCTAAACTATCCTAGTTCCTACCATTTTGCGGCGTTTTATTTAAATCGAAAACTTTCCAGTCCCCCCCCCCCGCTTACCCCAAAAAACTCTTGTCATACGACGAGCGGGAAGCGGTGGGGGCGGGGGAATCATCTACGGGAGTAAGCCGGAGCAGCGAACTAAACACCGGAAGGATGATCCCTCTCCTCTCTCAGCGACCAAAATAGACCTCGCACCGAATTCAGGCATACCCAACGTATTGAACCTTCCCTCGGGCTATCTCACTCATGCGTTAGGGAGCACCTAGTGCATTAGCAAAACAACGACGATTAAGCAGCTGTCTCAGACTTCGCGACTGCAGACTCTTCGGTTCGCGCGATGCGCATGCGCTTTCAGCCTGGACCTCGATCGCGTTCAGCGCGACCGAAGTGCTGCCATCGCCGTAAGTCTGCAACGCTACCTTATATTGCAACCGCGTGAAAGGGGCCGAAGCGCTCGTATTTGCAAAAGTTTCTTCACAGCGTGATGGAATATGCATGCGTCTCAGTGCCCAGTGTCTGCCCCCAGAAATATTAGCGCCTTAGGCTCAGGTTAAGGGCTCCCAATGAAAACAATGGCTGGGTGGGCGGATGCCTGCCCAACGTCGTTGGTGGAGAGGCTGTTAGAGGGCACTTAAGTTTGACCACACCCCCTTTCAACCCTTTCCACCAAATGCCCCCCCAGCGGCCGCACGCCGTTGCCTATAATCAATGGCCTACTTTCACTTCTGTGGCTTTCAGATCGCATAGCCGTAGGTGATATTCGGCAGTTGATAGCTGAAAATCAGCTGGATAGCCCCGAATTCTCACGCGGTAAGCAGACACCATTAGCGGAAGGTGCGACGCCGTTGATGTTTGCCGTGGCCGTCGGCAACGAAAGAGCGGTATAATCTTGCTATCAGTTACCGTAATAACTGGAAGACATGCGGTCACTATGTGTTTAGGTTAGGCGATTGGTCGATTTGCGAGTGGCAGACGGAACGATATGAGTCTCGTCATGTCTCACGAGCTCTGCAAATGGCATCGCTTCTTAGGTTGGATTTGCCGCTTTTCCATTCCTTAATGTATTGTCGGACAGCGATGTAGTCGCGAAATTTGAAATGAGGCGGAGACTCAGAGCAAGATCCCTCCTCAATGCTGCAGGCGGGAAGGCTGCGCATCAACGAAAAAGCGTGCGATGTTGTGAGTCATTGTCCATCCCTCCCCCTCCGCCTCCCCTTACCACATTTGGGTAGAGTTAATTCAGTTGCAAAGACAGTCGCGATGCCTATAGAAAGCTAAGAGATTTCAGTTTCCGCGGAGAAGCTAAAGGGTAAATGAACCAAGGGCCGCAAAACTGCCAGTGGTACCGCCCTTCTTCCAGTGACTCCGCCTTCCAAACTCCGACATTCAGGTCCGCCTGACCCGGCAGAAGCGACCGCCACTGACAAAGCAAGCCATGAAAATGGGGGTTCATTGCAAGGCATTAGACAGTGGATTCCATCTACTGTCTAATTCATCCCAATACGCAGTCTTCTGCTCATTCATCCATAGAAAAGTTCGAGGGTGGAGGGTCCTATTAAAGCGTCCCCTCTGACACTTTCTTTTCGCAGATGAGTCACTTACCAACTTCTCTTCAATATTTCAACACCACTACCTACGCCTCCTTTTTGGAACCGGCCTTTAAAGGCAAACCTCACCACCGGTCCTTGCCATTGCGAGAAAGCGCGCCGAGCAGCTGACAACTGACTAAAACTGTTCCCTCACTTGCAGACGAGGCTGAGAGGCGCAGAAGTACTTGAGTGCCTTTCCATCTTCAAGCCGCGCTGTTCTCAGGGTGCAGCACTTTCAGCTGTCGACACCAATGTTCCCACAGCCGAAACACTCACTCGGTTGTAGAGCAACAACAAAAGGAATGGGCGCAAACAAGCAGCGCCGCTAGACTATGATAAGCCTGTGAGTAGCGGGGAGGTGAATTGCGGAGACAGCACCGAGTCACCCTCCAACCCCTGCACTTTGGACGAGAGGAAGTGGCTCGCTCCTGCCACCTACGGACCCTGTATTGCCCTGCACATGGCAAAGATTAAGGATCTTGGCCGCAGGTTAGTGTACATGCTCTCTAGTGTCCTACTTTCAGGCTTGATAGTAGCGCTCTTGTTCTGTTGATAAACGAGGCTAGAACTGGTGATCTCAATGCGCTCAATATGTCTGCATTCGACCTGTATATAACTAGTAGTGGTATGTTATCAGTACTGATAAGACTCTGCCCGTACTTATCGATACACTGTCTTATAACCTGTCGTTGTTCTGAAAACTATCGATTTTTCGTTCAGAGGAGCATGATCCCAACTTGAGGGCGATGTTGCACATCTATCGACCGTCTCGGCTTGAAGGTAAACTGAATCTGAGTGGAAGCACCACTACGCTGTCAAAAGTGCTGGCGACAGGACGGCCAAAGGTATCCCTTAGACTCGAACGGGATCTGTCCGTGACTCAGATATCAGTCATGTTCGAGTACTCCGAAAATTGCGCGTGAAATTAAGAGTGCCTACCTCGCGAATATTTAGGGAAGTAGAAGCTTTAGAGTGGGGCCAGGAAGCGACAGTGACACTCATTCCGCTCTCCACCTGAACCAAGGTGCTGCGAAAACAGAGTGGTGCTATGTGCACTCGCTGCTCCCATGCACTCAATTTTACGCGCAGTTTGAGATACTGTATCCCTCCTGCTTTCCCAAACTTATGAGTTAATAGTGACGATTACGGATGAGGCTTTCCAGGAATGGCTGTCACGATTCTCAACTCAACTGGGTCTCTCATCCGAATCGCAAGCAGCGTCAAGTGTTATGGACATGCGGCAATGGCGCGACTATTGGGTACGGAACAGCGGCACGGACGGGCGATTTTGGAAGGTGAGTACGAATGTACGAATTCCGATGGCATACCTTCAGAAAGCAGAGCTATTACTCAGAGCACGTCGCACGTTGTGACGTTGTGAGACCTCACCGAGGGGGTCCTTATTTGGTCGCTGGAGGAAGCGGGGGGGGAGGGGGTCGTACTTGCCTCCGAGAAAAATGTCTTTGATTGGTGACACTTTTATCACGACACATTTACCAATTAGGAACGACACATTGATTGATCAGGAACTAGCCTAAGGAAGTATTTAACGTGCGGGACGCCCCCCTTTCCCACAAGGGGAACAGTTCCGTTGAATTTATAATCGGTTACAGAAACTAGTCACTGCCGAAGAGATCTTACGAATGACAAAGAACGCAACGCCACTCAAAACTATCAGCTATGATACGGTATTAGATGCTGTGAAGAAGATGGCGCAAGTAAGTTCCACTCATTGTTGAAAAAAATGTAAACATCCGCGTCACAAAGATGGTTCAGCCTGTAGAAACGCTGTTTCTACCTGCTTAGCCTGTAGATCAAACCTCATCCAGACCAGTAAAGCACTTCTTCCTGCAACGTGCTGGGCAGAAAATCCAAGTCGTGAGGACCTGCAGAAAAGAAAAGGCGCGGTGCATGAGCGAGTTTCCATGCCAGTTGACTCAGTTCATGTAGCCCATTTTCGTGAAACCAATTAGGTCATCATACGTAAGCAAAGAGGCGGAGGTGGTGTAGTGACAAGTGGCGCGCTTACCACTCGCGCGGCGCCGGGTTCAATCCCGGGTCGACTCCCGCCCAGGCCAACCAAGCCTTCTACCCTCCGGGGACGGTAAATTGGTACCAGATTCGTCTGGGAGGATAAAACACTGACTTGTACATCGGCTGGCCACCGCAAGTCATTGTATAGGCCACATCGCATTCAATAAGCCACTACGATTCTGAAACGATATCTGAATGGAAGTAGAATGCGTGCCGCATCCCACAAAGGGATTGATTAACGGCGAAGACTTTATCCTTTATCCTTTACGTAACAAAGCCACTTTCAGCGTAGTACCCTCCAGCGCAGCTCGATCTCTTGACCGGCACTGATTCATGAATTAGTTTTAGTGGGAGTTCTAGTGGGTTTTGATGTTCTACTTCTGAGCCAACGAGGTTTGTAGGTGGAACTTTATTTATGGCCTAACCTACGGAAGAAGTAAAGAAAAAAAATGAAGACCTCACTTTACTACATCTAGTGGAGCGGCGTTGATCCGCTCATGCCGCGGTGGACTTGGCCTCTGAGAACGACGATCTGGTCGAAACGTTAGGCCACAAATAAAGTTCCACCTACAAACCTCGTTGGCTCAGAAGTAGAACATCAAATTTCAAACAATGCCGAGGTTTTACGAAGAGAGAAGTTGCAGGCTAGTGGGTTTTGTCAGTTGGGGGGATGGGACATGAGGAAGGTTGGAGAGAGGAAAAACAGAAACTCAGACTTGAACACTGACTGTACCCTGCTACTCACTGTCACGCATTTGCCTATTAAGCATTCGAATACAGTCTGGTTTGCTGCAGATGATGGGGCGTGCCAAGCCGGGATGGGTTTGGCGCGGTGCCATCCCGTTTCTTTCCTTTTTCTTTCGGCAAGCGACAAGACTGCATCTTATTGTCTGTATCAGTCGTTTTCCATCAGTTGGTTGTCGCCGCGTCAACTTGGAAGAGAACGAGCTTACGGCGTGTCAAACCCAGGCTCACTGCACGCCCCTTCATCCACAGCGACCAAGACTGTACGTCAGCAATTCCGAGCAGAAGTTGGATATGTGGCTCATTCCAGACAATGACGACGAATGTCTTAACTTTACCATTCAGTTTTTAGTTTCTATTTCCTTTAACTGCATGGCCTAAAGACCACCTTCTTCCCAGTATTTGTACCAATTGTATATTGTGCCAGTTTGTCTGTCAGCCTGTCTTTTTTCTTTGTCTTCCTACATTCTGTTATAGCAACGACTTACTGATATGCTGGTTTTACGCAAAAATGCATTAAAGTGACACTCCGCAATATCCTGATGAGCGAGAAAGTGGGCGGAGTCTTACAAACACTGGCCTTCCTTATTGGTGCACTCCTCCTAGTACAGCAAAGAATGCTGCGGCAATGGGGAAGGGGCAGTGGATGGACGGTCTCCGCCCAGTTCTCGGTCCATCAACCTTTCGTGGAATGCGTCTTCAGAAGGAGTTTTTAGTAGTCGCAGTCATTTCTCTTTTAGCAATCACAGTCGTTTCTCGTAAGCTGCTTCTACGATTCCTATGTTGGTGATGTGAAACGAGAAACCGATAATGAAAGTGACAGTTATAAATGGGAATACTACGATCGAGCTCAGATGTACACATCACAATGCGTGAGTTTTCTAGCAGTACTTCTTTGTAAAGAGCCGA